CATCTCCTGGGAGGCTGCTGTGATTTTCATGTGACAAGTGAGGGTCTTGGGAATCAACCAATCTCAAGATTGGCCTATTATCCTGTTATCTTCTGAGACCCAGATTTATTATCAATGTTTTGGGGGATTCTGGAACAAAGCCCTTCAGATGGTGGGGGGGTGTCATCTAAATTTCTACACAACCAGGGGCTATGGTTGACCCCAGAGCTCCACCTAAAATCTTGAAGTCAAGTGATCCTACCAGGCCCCATATTTGTTATCTCTGCCTAAAATGCTAGTTCCTGTATCCCCACCCTTTCATTCCCCAGAATGACCCAGTGCCTCCTCTGAACCCTGTCCAGGGGCTGAAAACTCTGCAAATGGACTACCTTTTTGCAGAGTACTTGTACCTGACATTTGGCTCTTCTTTGAGGACATTCTCTTCTCTAGAAGGTTTTACAGGAAGGCTGCATCTCGGTCTGTGTCTATGCCCCTCCTACCCTCCTTCCCTCCCAGCCCAGTGGAATGAGAGTCGACCCTTCCAAAGCTAAACTCTCCACCTGAGCTCTGGACCCTTTTCCCCTCCTACGTTCTCACGACCTTGCTCCGTCTATTATTCCTTCTTCATTCTGGATCCTAGACATTTCTCCACCCACTTGTCTTTAATGCAGTCAATAAACATGCTGAAGACTCTTGGATCATAATCTCCATAGATGAGTTTTTTTTTTTTTAGTTGGGTAGTGATTATCTGTCTTTCTTCACTTTCCATTTCTTCCTGAACCCACTGAAGACTGGCTTCCACTCTGTTCTGCCACTAAAATGGCTCTTACCAAGATCAACTGTAGTGGGTACTTGTAAGTCCTTACCTTATTTGGCCTCTCTGTACCCATTGACAATCCCAGCCCTGATTTCTGTGACCCCGCTTCCTTGTGATGATCCTCTTGGTTTCTCAGGCTCCTTCACTGGCCCTGTTTCTCTACCTGTACCTGATATGTTAGCATTTCCTGGAGTTGGTTTTGTCCTTAGTTCCTTCTCCTCTTTCTGCACACATTCCCTGTAGGAGGTTTGGAAGGCCCTTCGTTTAATGACCACCTGAGGCTGGCGATTCTCAAATCTCTATTCCCTGACTTTGCCCTTGAGCTCTAGCCCTGCACACTCGCTCGGATGCTGTGCAAGCACATCAAACTCAACATATCCAAAATGAAACTTTCTCTTTCCTTTCTCCCCTCCCCACACATCTGTTCCTTCTCAGAACACCACCCAAGATCATCACCTCCTCTATCAGATTGTGAGCTCCTGGAAGGCAGGGGCTGTGTCTCTTAATTCATCTTTCTATCCCAACAACCTAGCACAGGTCCTGGGACATGGTAGGTGCACAGTAAATGTGTGTTGAATGAATGAATAAACAAATGAACAAATAAACAAATGAATAAACAAATGAACTTGCTTATTTCAGAGCAAAAGAGACATGAAACTGTATATTCTGAGTTTTTATGTTGCAGTGGTTAACAAAGCCCATTAAATCTTCTGTGTTTCCAAGAAAATAGGTGTGGCTTCCTTCTTTCTGACAAACTTTTTAGAGCAGCACTTTCTAATAGAACTTTCTGGAATAATGGAGATGTACTGTATCTGTGTTGTCCAATACAGTAGCCACTATCAACACATAAATGTGCACTTGAGTATAACTGAAAAACTGAATTTTTATTTTTATTTAATCTCAATTAACTGTATAACTGAAAAACAGAATTTTTATTTTTATTTAATCTCAATTAACTTTTATTTATTTATTTATTTATTGTTTTTGTCTCTTTGGTGACTGGCCGCACTGCGCTCAACCAGTGAGCTCACCGGCCATCACTATATAGGATCCAAACCCGTGGCGG